AGAATATGCTCTTTCAGCTGTTGAAAGCTGTTGCCTTAGTAAAGCTCTGTGAAAGAAACAGAACATTTTATTACTGCGGTTGCCCTCTTATGTCTTCTAACAGGTCTGTAGAGTAGAACCAGCCATGATGGCTAGCTGCAGGCTCCATCTAGTCCAGCGTCCTCACTTTTTTTGAGGCCAGAAGAGGAAGGTTAGGGAAACATTGTAAGAACAGTGCAAACATTGAGGGTTACCTCCCCTGATGTGTTCTTCCTTCCTTTCCTAGCCCTTTGCTTTTGGGCTTTCTGAGCCCAAGGTGCTAGACTTGGTTTTCATGCACAACAGCCCTTGATGGATTGTTTTCTTCCACTCACATCTGATCGTTTCGGATGGTGCCCTCTGTAATGTCTGCAGCTCCTGCTCATTGAGCTCACTTCTATGTTCAGTATTTGGGTACATTTTTCCATTTTTGGCACCCACAACTCTGTTGGAAAATGAACTCCACAGAGTAATTATGAATCATCTAAAAAAATACTTCTTTTTGGTAATTTAATTTTTTTTGTTCCATGTCTTCATGTGATTCCCTCTCATTCCTGGATTATGAAAACTAAGACATAATCATTTCTTATCTGCCTTCTTTGTACTATCAGTTTTATAAACCTTCATTATATTCTTCCTCAGCCATCTGGTTTTCAAGCTGAAGAGTCTTAGCCTATTTAATCTCTTTTCATAGAGAAGCTGTTCCGTGTTTCTGCTCATCCTAGTTTCATCCTAGTTGCCCTTCTTTGTATCATTACTATATCCTTTTAGAGATGCTAAGACTAGAAATGCACAGTATTCGAGGCTTATATTCAGCAGAATGCTGTCTTCTGTTTTGCTTTGATTTCTAACATCTCATTTCCCTTTTTGGCTACCACTGTGATTCCTACACACAGCAATCCCACAGGTTTGTTTTTTTTTTTTTTCTAATGACCATTTGAGAGACTATTCTTGTAAATTATTTGATTTTGTCTCTCTTTGAAAGCATTTTGAGGAATTTTGCCAATGCTTGTCTGGGCGCTTCTCAGACCCAGGAACCTAATGACTATTGGGTAATATCTGAAGTTCAGTTGCGAATGGATGTGGAGTCACGCTTCCACTGCCATGCAAACTTTCCTGAAGGTATGCTTAAGACATCTAGGAAGCAAACTAACTAAAGTTAACACCAGTTAATGCAACCTCTCAACAGCAGAGGTAAAGATATTAGAAAAGGATGGTTATCCTTAAAGGCGTTCCAACAGTCAGGTGGTCCTTGCTAATGTGGGTAGAAGAGATGAGTATGCTGGAGGAAAAGCCCCAGCAGCAGAAGTGGTGTGACAATATACAGGATTTTAGGGTTTATCAGCAGGACTCAAAACTCAATGTGATCGTACGTACAGGTAAAATTTTAAGTAGTTAAGATAACTAGCAGCTACCAGTGGGTTTTTTGGTACTGGCATGAATTATTTATGAAAATAAAGTGCCCCTGCAGTGATTTTTCAGTTGGTACTTTGCCTCCCCTTCTCAAGAATTCTATAAAGAAAATAAATTCTAATAAATAATTGGGAACAAAGATTACAGGGTTCCCTTCCCTTCTCCATCCCAACTTAGAGATTCATTGTATTTTTAGAATAAGGATTTTTAGAAACGAAGAGCTACAGAAAATTAAGTCATTAGTCTATACATCTTAGTCAACCCATTTTAATCCACTTCATTTTATTCATCTGTTACAGAAAGGCAATATTTACTTACATAACTCAGGAGTGCCGTGAGTGATAATTAATGCTTATAAGTAGTAGTGTGATTAAAATGAAGAGCTATGCACTTCCAAAGGATTATTAATTTTATTATCATCGTTATTACTATACTGAGCTATTGTAAATTACTGAAAGATAGCCAATTGCCATGGATTTTCTTGAGATGACTTTGTAAGGTATTAAACGGAGAGCGTTACACTGCAGAAAACTCATAATGAAGTTGTAAAACTGAGATTATATCCTATGCCTTAAAATGGTATTGTCCATACTGGAAGTAAAAAAGTAAAAATAATTAATAAATGCTGATTAACACAAAAATGTACTGATCTGACTTCTATCTACAGTGACTCATTTACCACTTGCTGAAAATTCCCCATCTCCGTCTCAATGATTTTCAAGCCGCATGCCAGAAATGTCTGTATTTTCAGGAGAAAGGTTATGGCCAACGATTTTAGGCGGCTGGGTTTAATGAGGGCCCACCTGTCAGCTGAGCTGCTGGATCTGGTGGTGGGAGCTCCAGCCAGCTTCTGTGGTCCAGCAGGCGATGAGCCTCTTGCCAAGCTGCTGTCACCCCATGGCTGTGATCAGGCACTCCAACGCCCGAGTGTGACCACCTGCAGCACGGCTGGATCCAGAGATGCCCGGCCCCAACGTCGGCAGCCCCAGGCTCTTACCCTCTCCATGGCAGGAGACACCTCCCTTGCCCAAACCCACCTGCCTGCAGGGCTGTGCTCTGAAGTGTGCTGTGAAATGAATCCCATGGTTGAAAACAGCACTAACACCATCGTCTGTGGGTTGGTTTGTTGGTTTTTTTTTGAAAAATGGGCCATTTATAAAAGCTGGTTTGGAATATGGCTGCACCTCGAGACTGTCCCCATGAAGATTTAAAGCAGTTTTGTTAATATCCACTTTAAATGGTTATTTGGATTAATATTCTTGGGTTTCCCTTGAACACAAGCTGAATTATACTGAGAAGAAAATTCATTTATTTCCCCCAGCAGTAAGGAATAATTTCTTACGCATAATTTCTGCCTCTTATTTGACTGGCTTTCTAGACATTCTAATTTAGGTTCTTGATGAGTTGAGAATAAAAGATTTCCCTATTCTAAACGGAAAGATTAATTACAGAACAAAGACTGTCTATGAAGAAAAATGTTATTCCTCGCCCTTTACCAATGCTGAGAAAGTAATTAGTTAGGCGTCTAATCAAACCCGGAGTAGGATTTGTCGGGAAGGTTAAGCCCTTGCTGACACCTTGCTGTTATGGGTGGTGGAAAGAACCCTGGTGTAATTGAAACAACCCAGGAACCCGACAAGACACTGCCCGCATCAGCAGCCTCTGCGGGATCGGGAGGCACAGTCCAGAGGGACACGGGATTTCATGAGGGCTGACAGAATTTGTGCTATGAAGTGACAAGAGCAGCCATGCCCGGCAGGAAGAAATGGCACTGTGGACTCAACCGGGTGGTGACTTTCACAAAAGGGCTCAACCAAAGCAAAGACTGAGCTTTTTTGGACTTCATTGGGGATATCCCTTGTTGGAACACGAAGGCGATCCCAACAATGCTGTGAATGTTTCAGTGTCAACAGGATGGAGAATGGGCTGACAGGAACTGCACAAAGTTCAACAGGGAGTGCAAAGTCCTGCGCCTGGGGAGGAGCAACCCCATGCACTGATAAATGCTGGGAGCCACTCAGATGGAAAGAAGCCTGGCAGAAAAGGACCAGGGGATCTTGGTGGACACCAGGTTGCATCAGCCAGCAATGAGCCCTTGCTGCAAAGAAGACAAATATCATCCTGGCCTGCATCATCATAGAATCATAGAATGGTTAGAGTTGGAAGGGACCTTAAGGATCATCTAGTTCCAACCCCCCTGCCCTGGGCAGGGACACCTCCCACTAGAGCAGGTTGCTCAAAGCCCCATCCAGCCTGGCCTTGAACACTTCCAGGGATGGGGCAGCCACAGCTTCCCTGGGCAACCTGTTCCAGTGTCTCACCACCCTCACAGTAAAGCATTTCTTTCTGGTATCTAATCTAAATCTCCCCTCTTCCAGTTTAAAACCATTACCCCTTGTCCTGTCACTGCACTTCCTGACAAAGAGTCCCTCTCCAGCTCTCCTGTAGGCTCCCTTCAGATATTGGAAGGCTGCTATAAGGTCTCCCTGGAGCCTCCTCTTCTCCAGGCTGAAGGACCCCAGCTCTCTCAGCCTGTCTTCGTAGAAGAGGTGACCCATCCCTCTGATCATCTTCGTGGCCTTCCGCTGAATACTGAATACCTGAAGGGAGGGTGTAAAGAGGACGGAGCCAGGCTCTTCTCAGTGGTGCACAGTGATAGGACCAGAGGCAATAGGCACACACTGAAACATGGGAGGAAGCCCATTTCTCTGTTTTCTGAACATCAGGGAATGTCTTCTTATTGTGAGGGTGACTGAGCACTGGCACAGGTTGCCAAGGGAGGTTGTGGAATCATAGAATGTCTTGATTTGGAAGGGACCCACAAGGATCATCGAGTCCAACTCCCTGTTCCTTGCAGGACTACCTAAAACTAAATGATATGACAAAGAGCATCGAGATGCCCCTGGAACTCTGGCAGGCTTGGTGCTGTGACTACTCCCTGAGGAGCCTGTTCCACTGACCAACCACCCTCTTGGTGAAGAATTTTTTCCTAACGTCCAACCTGAATTTCATACAATTTCCTCATGTCCTATTACTGATCACCAGAGAGAGAAGTTGCCGTTCTTGGAGATATTCAAAAGCCATCCAGACATAGTCCTGGGCAACCTGCTCTAGGTGGCCCTGCTTGAGCAGGGAGGTTGGACAAGATGACCTCCAGAGAGGTCAGTCTCTCAGTGATTCTGTGACTTACAATGTTCTTGAATGATTGGCCTACAGGTTGATGTCAAAGAAACCTGCTGCAACAGAATAGATGTATTCATTAGTATATGGTGGATATCACCGTATGATGTCTGTCTGTCTTTCATTCAACCTTTGCTCTTCCTTTGGGGGAGCTTGCTCATTGAAGCACCCAACCGAATCCTTACTTCATGAAAGAAGCTATCTTGGCCCACTGCGCTGTGAAGAACCTCGTCCTTGCAGCAAAGAGTTGGGTTGATGGTTGGACTTGATGATCCCAAGGGTCTTTTCCAACATAAATGATTGTATGATTCTATGCTTCTAAGACCAACGCCGGCACAGGGCAGGGTGGTCACACCCCACCATGGGGGAGCCTTGCACCATTCTCCCCCATGGAAGGAGCCGCCAACCGGGACACCCTACTGGAGGTGGGGCCAAGCGGGGCCCAGCGGCATTCCAGAGTTCCCAGTTGGTGTCCCTTGGTTACCCAGGTCACCCCCGGCGAGCCCGTCCCCTCCCGCCACCCCAGGCCGGCCACCCACCCGTTATCCCCACCTCGCCCTCCCCACGGCCGCCTCCGCCGCCCCGGGGGGGGCGGGGCTTGGCCCGCCCGTGGCATTTCAAACGGGCCAACCGCCAGGCGCGGAGGGAGGGCGAGAGGGGCGGGCCGCCGCGCAGTCCCCGCCTGGGATTTTAAAGCGCCATTTTGTGCCGGGCGGCAGGATATCGATCGTCGCTCTTCGCCCGGCGGCGCGCAGGCGGCGGGGCGCGGTGAGGCGGCAGGCGCCCGGCGGCGGCCCAGCTGCGGCCGGCGCCGCTCCCTTCTCGGCGTCCCTATCCCCCTCTTCCCCGCCCCGCTCCGTCCCTCTGCCTCCATGACCCGCAGTAGGAAGCAGGCGGCGCTGGAGAGA